GATATGCGCGGTACGCTCGATTGCGGTGTCAGTGCGTGGGGCAGATGAACAATGCGGGGATATCGTTCACTGTGTGGTTGAGTGTGTAAGATAAAACACTGACTAGCCCTCACGGTATTGCAGAAGCTTAGATCTAATAAAAAATAACTTGTCCCACATAGAAAAGTTTTTCTTAAATGCAGGCATTTCATTACTGCTTTCAGACTGAGAATTTCTTTAACACGACTCACTTTTTGTCATTCTCTGTGTGCAGTAGTAGCAGTGTTTATGAATACATACTGATTCTTGCTTTTTCCTCCCCTTAAGGGTATGCCTTTTTCTGTGTATGGGAATGCAATGATTCCTCCTGTAGCCCCCATCACAGATGGTACTGGAGGCCCTATATTTAACGGGCCTCATGCTGCTGACCCATCTTGGAACTCGCTGATAAAGATGGTTTCAAATTCCACGGAAAATAACGGGCCTCAGACGGTAATTTTTCAATTTTATATTCGCAGTTTTGTTTCAACTTAAGAAACAGTGCAGTGAAGATAAGATCCTAGCTGTTAGAAAGTATGAAAACGCTGTTAGGAAGTATGAAAACAGAGTGTAGCGTTTCTTCTTTTTGCTCGTGTCTCTAAGGAGCTGATGCAGCCCCCCTACTTGATGCAGCCCTGAGCGCTGTATGTGCTTGCTTACACCTTCTAAACATTAGTCATCGCTCCAAAAATAAGTGTAAGTTGTCCGGAGAAAAAACGAGCATCGCTAAGTTAATGCAGTTCAAAGGAGTGTGCTGTTGTTACTTCTGTCAGTATACTTGTGCTTGAGAATTGGGAAGCTTGCTTCCAGCTGAGCTTAGAGAAGCTGCCTATTTAATCAAAGTTAATTACTGCAGATCAGCTTTTCTGATGATGTGTTGTAGGCAAGTCTGGATAGAAAAGATAGTTTTACACGGTATATTTTACTCAAAATGATCATGATTTCTGTCTGTGCAGTTTTGCATTTGGGAAAACACAATTAATTTGCTTTTGTGAGAAGAGCCATTTATTTGCTGTTATGTAAGCTATCCCTTCCCAAAAAGGGGAAACGGCAATAGGTCTAAAGGATTGATGGCTGGGCACTGAAAGGTATGATGTCTTCAGTGTGTGTTAGGAGTTCAGGTAGGAAGGGAGTAAGTAGCTCTTCTGTCTGCTGCTCTGATCTTGCCTGGGTGATAGGGTTGTCCACTGAATACAATCCAGGTATAGGTATTGTGTTGCCCTAAACGTCTTGTTCGTACTCAGCCAGAAACTAATATTATAATGGATCATTAGTAGCTCTTGTTATATTACATCCTGTGTTTATTTTTAATTATACACTGACCTCTGTTAGACTGTTATTGAATAAAGATGTTTCGGGACTTAATTTGCTTGGGAGTCGTCCAAGCTGCAAACAGCAGCTCCTGGCTGTGGCAGAGCGTAGGTGTGCAGAAGAAGAGGCTGTCTGTTGTTTAGCCACAGTTCACATATTGCTCTGAAGCGGCTCGTGACCGTTAGGAGGAGGACCATTAAACTTCTGGTTTAATAAGAAAACTTTGTCCCCCAAAGAAGGCTTTACTTTATTATACTTGGGTTTCCCCAGAGATGAGGGTGTTGGTATGCACTGGGGGAAAATAATTCAGGGTGCCAGAAATCAAGTTCTTGATTGTCTGAACTTCATAAGGAAAAGAGGAGGTAGTCTTTTCTTTTCCTCTGAAAGCTGGAGGTCTTCAGGCGCTGTCCTTGCAAATAATTTTGGACATACAGAGTCCTGGTAATTCTCCTTGACAGCTGACCTGGCATGTTTAGAGGGAGTACTTATTTCCGTGGGTCTCAGGGGATACATTTCCTCCCCTGGAACAGTAAAATACATGTTACATTAGTGTTGCTGCCATGAAGGAACTAGTGGGCATAAATAAATAGCATTGATTTCTTTCTTTGGTTGTGCTGTGATGGAAAGTGGTCAGGCTGGGTTGAATGTATTTTCTTGCACTAAAAGTAGAAAGGAAGAGTAAGATGGACACTTGGGCCAAGGGGAAAAGGTACAGGCAGAAAGATTAAAACACCATTTCCCTCTTTTCTCACTGGAATTACAGCAGGATGAAACAAGTGCTGAAAGGAGCTCAGTGTAGTTTTATGGTGGATTGCTGTGTTGTCTGGTGTTGGGCTTTACTTGGGTGCAGTGAAAACCATAAGCACTGCAGGGTAATTTTTGACTTCTGAACTGTTCTGAGCAGCCCCAAAGCATGGTGTTAAATGAAGCTTTCTCTTTCAGGTGTGGACTGGAACTTGGACACCTCACATGAACAGTGTGCATATGAACCAACTTGGCTGAGTGGGATCAACTTGCTAGCCTTGAGATTCCTTTTTTGCAGAGGAAACCACAAATGGCAGAAACAGTTTATGTGCTCCCAGATCATTCTACTGATGTGCTTGACTGAAGTGTGTAGGCTTTTTGCAGAAGAACTTACTAACTGACCTTTTTCTGTGAACATTGTGACCGCCCATTCCCCACCATCATACGTTTCAACTTAGTTAGCCTTTATTCTTTCCTTTCCTTTTTTTTTTTCTTTTTTTTTTTTTGACATAACTTTCTGTTGAAGCTGTTCTTTGGCTGGTTGGTTTTAGTACTGTAAACTGCTTCTGAGCAAACACAGAAATTTAGCAAAATTATGTAAACTTGATCCTGAAGTTTTAGAATGGCAAATAAATGTACAATTGTTTACATAACAAATGGCTAAGCAGAAAGTAAATTTCAATATGTCAGTATAGAGGCTCTACTTTATGTAGACTTAAATTAATGTGAGATATGTACCTTCATATTCAGAAATCTGGATGTTTCCTTCATACATTAAACTATTAATAAGCATAACTTTTCTACTTGTGTAATTTAAGTACCTTATAAAAAAAAATGGGCATTATCGGAGGGCTTCTTCCAAATGTGTGTTGGATTTTTTTTGATAAAGCATACATTAGTAGTAACAAGATACTAAGGGTTTTCATTTCCCTTCCATGAAAGGCTTTTCAGCAAAAAGCGCCTGAGAAAACAGCCTTTTGGCACATTCAGACTCATCTCCACGTTGAACTCCCCTACTTGCCCGGTAAACAGGGGAAATGTATCACGCTGCAGCATCTATTAAAAATTATTCTTACAGTTGGGTTGATGGAGCAAGCTCTGTTCTGTTTCACTAGTGCTCCCAGAGCTTCTGTGCCTGTGGTCCCTTCCCTTGCCTCCAAGTGTCATTTCAGAACATACATCCTTGGTGTGCGTTAGTTCAAGAATGAGAGTTTTGGAGTTTTAGCAGAGCTTCACTGATGAAAACCGGCTTCGAAGGAAGGTTTATCTCAGAGTAAGTGGCTTGGTTCTAGTAGACGATGTCTTGCTTCAAACTGGGTCACCGCCCTGTGTAGGTTTATTCGGAAAAGTCCAAGTGAGAATTTCCTTACAGTCGTTGTCAAGAGCTGCCACCTTCTTCACTCACAGTTGCTTGGAATGAGGAGGAGTACCAGGAGGCAAAGTCTCAGGGGTCCTGTGAGGCAAGACTCAGTCAGCAGTGAGAAACAGCTGCAGTCAGGATCCCCGTACAGTTTGTGCACATATGGTTTAAAGTCGATCTACGAGTGGAATGTATTTTTGTGCAGGACAAGCGAGGGCCAGCGTGCTCTGTTGCTGGTTTCTCTGCATAGAGGAAGGCTGAAGGAAAGCTTGTTTTTTCCTTACCGTGTCACTTGGTGTCAATCCTTGTGTTCTAAGTTGCTATCCTGAGAGATACAATCTGGGAAAGAAATATCCCAGATGAGTTAAATGGGGTGCTGGTGAGGCTGGAATTTAAGAAGTGCTGCTTTCTATTTATTATGGTACTCCTTTGGAAGCCAGAAGAAGAACCCACTTCTCCAAAGAAACCTGCTGCCTTTTAAATATTGTGGTATTGCTGAGGTCTCCAGAAGGCTTGTGCATACCAATGTCCATATACATGCCCTTAGGTGATGCTCTAAATAAAAGTAAGCTCCTTTTTCCAGCTGTCTGATCACCTGAAATAGTTTGTATAAAGAATGGGTGGTAGCAAAAAGGGTACCAAACTGAAAAACTGCTGAGAAAAACGATTGATACTCCGTTTCAGCACCTTACTGTGTGAGGAATAGTGCCCTTCTTCTAGTGCCCTTCCTCTAGTCTTCTGTATCACTTTTGGCCCTCTACTAGAATTTTTTGCTTCACGTTTCAGTGCTCTTTAGGATTGTTTGCACTCTTATTTGGAAATAATCCTACTGCGAAGTACTGCTCGGTATTTATTACAACCGTGGATGCTGTGGGTCAAAAGAACAAGAGTGTCCGAGGGTTGTGCTTTCCTGCCTGTGTTTTGTTGACTTGAAATATCGAGCTGTGGCCCCTGGAGCGTAGAACGGATGCTGCCTTTGTGGCATTGGCCTTGTTTGATGAAATCCTGGGGCTTTTTGGAAGTCTGTACCAGGAACAGTGGGGGTTTTTTTGTTGTTTTTTTTTTCTTGGATACTTTTTGTTTGTTTGTTTTTAATAGTTCAAATGTAAAGGCTCTGATCTGACCAATAAAAAAAGAACATACTGTGTTGGGACCTGGCAGGTCGTCTTTATTTAAGAAAATGGATTGAAACCGCGTTGAGAGATCGGTGCTTGGGCTGTGGCAGATCCCTAAGGCTGAAGGAGAAATGAACAAGGCGGAGCCCTCAGCAGCTGCCCGTCTCCTCCACGGGCTTTCTTTACCTCTCCTTGCCCTGCAGGAAGGAGGTAAGCACCCACTCTTCGCACCCGCCCGGGCCCAAGGCTCTGGGCCTCCTCATCAGGGAGGATTAATTAGCGCCCGCCCGTAAGGCGGCTTCCCGCTCTTCCTCCTGCCCTCAGTCCCCAGGGCGGGCGGCGCATGCGCGGCGGGGCCCCGCCCCTCCTGGAAAGAGTCGTTCGCCATGTGGCGGCTGGCGCGGGCGGGCGCCGCTCGCGCGCCGGGCGGGCGGTTAACGG